TCTGACCTAGCGGGAGATTCCTTTCCTGCCTCTTCACTCATTTTCCCTCCTTGTCTGTTTTTCCCTCACATCTCCTCTGTCACCTCCTCCAGGAAGCTTTCCAGGCTGCATTGGGCATCTCTTCTGGGCTTCCTCGGTTCCTCAGTCCTTCCCGACTTTGCGCTTGTTACCCTGGGTTAATACGTCACTTTTCGGATCATACCATTCCCCATGGAGCGGGAGCATCCTCCTCTTGGGACAAACTTTCACCCCACTCTGCACAGCCGTGGGCCACTCCCTGCTGCCCCTGGCCCAGCCTCGGCATGGTCTCCATTTTCAAGACAGGGAAACTAAGCCCCAGGAGGCTTGTGACTTGCCCAGGGACACTTCCTGACCTAGGTGGGCTGGGTGCGCACTAAGAGCCAGCACGGGATCCATGCCCTCAACTACCTCCCATGGAGGGCTTTTCTTCCCTTCTTGTCAAGTGAGACCCAAAGGCTTTGGGTGACAGCGACAGACCTTCTAGGCCTGGAGCTTGGGACCACCCCCCAACCAGGCTGCAGCCCCCATCCCAGCCCAGGGTCCACTTGCTGGCAGCAGGCACCAGGTAGAGTTCCCCACCAGGCAGCTTTTGGGGACCTCACCACCTGCTTTTCTACCTCTGAAGCAGAACATTGTGTGTCTCTGAGGTCTGGTGCCCCAGGCTAAAGACACCACCCAGCAGCCACTTCTTGGCCACAAAAGGTGAAGGCTTCCAGGGTTACCATGGCAACAGAGCGCTGGGGTATCTGTGTGGGCAGGGTCTCTCCCTCAGCCACACTCTTCCCTGGGCCCCCCAGTCCCTCTGTGGCCACAGAGCTCCCAGGGAGGTTCCCGACCAGCCGGCTCCAAGCCCCTGGGATCCGTCCCATCCCAGGAGGACCTTCAAAGGACTCAGCCATTCTTGAGCAAGTGCCAGGAGGGAATCTGCTCTCAGAGGCAATTTAGGCAGCCACATGAGTGGAAGGAATTTGCTATTTCTCCTAACAGGGACCCTGCCGTGATTTATAAGGGGCCACTGTCCGAAGGCCCCCTCAGATAGATGCTGTGTGTGAAAGGAAATTCCAAGCCCGGAGTCTAGCTGGGCTAATTGCCTCAATGAGCCACAGCTGGCTGGGAGAGCCAGCGGACCAGGGCGGGCTGGCTGCCTGTGCCCCACTCTCCAGGACCCCTGTCTGCCCTGGCCTGCCTAGACTCACTGACATTACCACCCAGGTCCAGTCAGGGGTCACCAGGTATCCGGGACAGCCAGGAGCACAGCCACCACCAGACAGGCCCAGGCAGGGGCACAGCCTTGGGTTCGTAGCTGCTTTGGGAGCTGGAGGCCCCTGAGATGCCCAGGACCACTGCACTCCGTCCTGCTGATGGGGACACTGAGGCCCAGACAGATAGGGCAGGTCCCATAGAAGCCTGGGGTGGGGTCTGAATGGACACAGTGTCCCCTTTGAGGCTCAGAGCCACATGGCTGCCCCCAGAGCCTTGTGGGGCTCATGGTTGGCTCTCTGGCTACTTCTGAGAGTGCCAGGCCTTGTGTGGGGGTCTGGGGGTACCACAGCGGTCAGAATACAGCCTGACGCCCACTCCGAGGGGCGTTCAGCACTGTGGGAAGACAAACACCAGTTACAGAAGTGTTTAGTGCCCTGAAAGTACTCAGAAAGGAATTTGACCTGTTCTGGACATCTGAGACTAAGCTTGTGCTACTGAGTTAAGCAGAAAGCAGAGAAGAATTTGTGTGACTGGGCAACGGAGGGAGGTGCTAGATGAGAGACTGTTCCAGGGAGTGGAGACAGCATAAGCAAAGTTCCTGTGTAAGGAGGAAACAGGACATACAGAGCAAGAATGAAGCCACGAAGCAGAGCCAAGAACTGAGGGAAAGTGGTTACAGAGCAGGGCATGCAGGCAGAAGTGGTGACTGTACCTTCAGAAAGATAATCCTAGGTCTTGTTTAGGACAGGTGACACCTCATATCATGCCCACACAGCATGTGGGACACCATCCCCAGCCTGCCATCCCTCTGGACCTTGCCTGTGTCTTTGTCTCTGGCTTTCAGGAGCTTCAGTGCTGAGTCCTGCTGTGCAGAGCACCCCAGTGGTCTGGACCAGGGCTTGGGGGACCAGGCAGCCATCCGACCAGGCATTGCTGAAGATAGGGATGCAGTGCTACAGAACAGAGGGCTCTGGGTCAGGGGCAGCTGAGAGCAGCTTGGGGAAGTCACCAGAGCCTGGCAGTCACCGGTGGCACCACACCTGGCTTCTGTGTCACTTTCTTGAGGACAAGACGGGGTGTCCCTGGTGTTAGTGATCACCTTTGGGTCCTTCGGAGGAGGTAGAAATGACAGGTGATGGAAGGCTGAATGAGATACACATCTCAGCCTCCTCGCTGAGACTTTGGCACCCTCTGGCCTCCCCACAGCCACCCTGTGTCCCCATGAGACCAGGCCCTGCTGGTTGGCAGGTCTGGCTGTCACAGGGTGGCTGTCACACAGGTGAGCAGGCACCCATGGCCCCAGGTGCCCACTCCCTGTAGCCTTGGCTCTGGCCTGGTTCTGTGGAATGCAAACAGGTCTGACAGGCTCATTAGCAGCAGAGACAGCTCCATGCATGATTTCGAGGAAAGCTAAGGTCCTAGAGAGCAAGAGGGAGCCAGGCCTGCAGTGGAGGGAGGGAAGGAATCCACTTCTTGTGTCCTGGGCCAAGAGCTCCAGGGTGACCTCCTAGCCACCTCTTCTGAGGGACCGATAGAGACCTGCATGTGGCCAGGGGCGTGGGAGTACTGCTCTTGGTGTGACCCAACCCCGGGCACTGTCCCCACACTCCGCTGTGTGGGAGGCAGTGTGGGTTTGGGCTTCTGGGTGCAGACTCCCAGCTGACCTCAGAAAGTGCTGTGCCTCAGTTTCCTTTGCAGTGCACAACAGACCTTGGCCTGGGGGCTGGCACTTCTGAGCCCATGTAGTTGGTCTGACTCATCTCCACCTGGATCAATCAAGTCCTCCTGTCCTCACACCTCTCCCCGACCCTGGATTTTGGCTGGATCCCCAACTCCTGTCAGCGTCCACCCAAGGGAGTCCTCCGAGACCCCAGGACTCTTCCCATGCCCTCCCACCCCCAAGAGCTTTTTATCCTACCTCCTGATCAAGGGTGCTTCTGCCTCTCTCAACTCTTCTCCTCAGAGGTTGAACCCAGGGCCTTTGCACTAACTAAGCTATATCCCCAGTCTATTCTAATTTTTTATTTTGAGACAGGCTTTCCCTGACTCATTAAGTTGCCCAGGCTGGGCTTGAACTTGCAGTCCTCGCACCTCAGCCTCCCAGAGTGCTGGGATTGCAGGCATGCAAGAGCACACCTGGCTACAGTGCACAGATTTTGAGGTACATCTGGATAATCTTTCACCTATGTTTACATTTGAGTCTCTAGGCACTGGATGCAAGAAGAATGGAGAGAGACCATGAATGGATTTCTTGTAGTGGTGACAGAAGGTTCTGGATGGTGGTGAAGTTTCTACAACCTCGAGCATGGACTAAAGCCATTCTGAAATGGCGAATGTTGGGTCAGGGATTTAGCTCAGTGGTGCCACACCTGTCTGGCAAGTGCAAGGTCCAGAGTTTGATTTCTGGTACCGAAAAATAATGAAATGGCAAGTGTTTACCAACAGCTCACAGTGAACGTATTAGTGATGGACTGCAAACACGTACTAATAAAATAATAATAGAATGGTGAGTATTATGGTTTGTGAGTTATACCTCAATTAGAAGTTTTTGCTAAGTGTTCGGTGTGGAACTGCAGCTCAGCTTTTGCACAGACTTAACTTGAATAGATCCTGACAAGTAGCATCCCAGTGTGGCTGACCCGCCTCACACCGCACACTCTCTGAGGGTTCTACAGGCTCCGCCTCCTCACCAGCACGTGGAGTTGTCCATTCTTTTCATTTTAGCCATTCAGGTGAAAGAGTACCTTACTGTACTTTTAATTTGCCATTTCCTTATAAGGAAAGAGGCTTGGGAGTTTTATTAGTCATCTAAATGAACTCTTTTGTTATCTACCTGATTACATTTTTTAAAACAATCTTTCTATATTATTATTATTGTTCCTGTTGTTTTTGTGGTACTGGGGACTGAACCCAGGGCCTTTGAACTGAACTACATCCCCAGCCTTTCCTTTTTATTTTGAGACAGGATCTTGCTAAGTCACTAAGATGCCCGAGCTGGACTTGAACTTGTAATCCTCCTGCCTCTGCCTCCCAGAGTGCTAGGATCACAGGCGTGCAGTACCTTGCCCCACTTCATGTTTCTATTATTTATATTCAGGCTTAAATATATATGCATATATATATACTCACACACACACACACACACACACACATATATATATATATATATATACACACATATATTCTAGATATCAGATCTTTGTAAGGATCTCTGTGTTGCCAATATCTTCTCCCATCCTTGCCCTGTTTTTCCACATCCTTAATTGCATTTTTGGTTAACAGAAGTTTTTAATTTTGATGAAGCCTGATTTACCCACTTTTTATTTTATGTTTGGTACCATATGTGTCCTGGTTAAGAAATCTTTGCCTACCTTTAAATGTCTTCTGAATCTGTTCCTCCTGGCTGCCAGATGCCTCCTGTTTGGCTCCCCCTCCCCCGACCAATGTCTGCCCTGCCTTCTGCCCCCTCCACCCATCTTCCTCACTGCAGCCCACGTGGCCTTCTTGCCCACTGGTCTGGTTCATCTTGTGCAGCACTTGGGACTGGCAAGGCCCTGGCATGTGCTAGGTGCTCAATAAAAGCTGTATAAATGGAGGCAATGTTCTGTGGCCCAGCTGGGGGCCATTAAAACTGTCAATTAGTTCTAAACACCAGCTCATCGGGAACAGTTTGAGCAGAGCCAGGGAACCAAAACATTTTGGAAAAACCAACTGGATGGGAATGTTCGCTGTCTCACTAGCCAGAGCACTCAGCACGCAAACTCAGGCCTTAGCGTGATTTATTCTGGCCTCACCCCAATCTGTGGGACAGGGGTAGTCTCCCCTGTGCCCTCGGGCTGCAGGAGCCCCACTCCAGTCTTCACTGACTTGGAATGCGGGGTAGACCGTGTCTCCTAGTCCTTCTCTTCGCCGTGCGTGATGACGTAGCACAGGTTCCTGTAGTCCAGGTTGCCGCACACATCTGGAGGGAAAGCTGCAAACATCTGCTTGACCTGGGCAGAGGGCAAGGAATCAGGCTGGACCAGGGGTGACTGAGGGCCAGAGTGGGGACCCTTGGGCTCTTAAAGCCACACTTACCTCCTCCTCACTGAACCGGTCTGCCTGGGTCATGAGCTTCTCCTTGATGCTGTTGAAGGGGATCAAAGCAGTCATGTGCAAGGGAAACACCAGGGTGACAGGGACAACAGGACCAGCCCGGGGCTGACACCCCAGCCCTCGGCAGCTCTCTGAGCCCCAGCTGCCTCTTTTATGAGCCAGATCTCCACCCCACCTTGCGTGCGGACAAAATGGACTGACCTTGAGGCCCCACTGTCACCTTGGGACCACTCTGATTCCCGTGGTGTGTTAATGATCAGCCTTAGAGTCACTAAGGGGGGGGACACTCGGATCCCTTGAGGCTCTTTGCCTTTTCCAGCCTGTGACTTTCACTGACATCTGTATGGTGTTTCACAGACTCCAGGGCACCAGAAGGCTTGCCACAGCTGGGTCCTCTTAGACCTTCGTTCCCACAGACCTGGGAATTGACTACTCTGATCCTCTTTTGTTAAGGGGGAAACTGAGGTTCAGGAGGTCTTAGGACTTGCCGGTCATTCCAGAGTGAGGCAGTGGAGGGGCGGCCTGTAGCACTTGGCATTTGGGAGAGCAGCTGGTCACAGCCATCAGAGTCACCTGGGACCACAGGAGCCATGCTGGGTCCACATACAAGGGAATGGAGGCCCCTGGAGCTTGGCTTAGGGGGTGGCTCAGTGGACCAGGATGGGGTTCAAGGGCTGAGCAGCCCCATGCACTCTAGTGTCCTCTGGCGCCAGCAAGGACAGGCCCTGCTCAGGACTGACACATATTTTCCATTATTTATGTTACTGCGAACAGTCACAGTTTCCAACTCCCCAGGCTGAGGACTCGTCACAGACTCCATTTCAACCAGAGCCTCCTCTGTGGCCTGTCTGGCCACATCATCCGGGTCCTATGGCTCAAAGCGGTGCCTTCCATTCCCAAATTGGGTCCCCAGTGGTCCCCAGCCCTGTCCTCGAGCTGGGAGGAGACAGTAGAGGGGCTGCTCCAGGCGGTACTCCCTGAGGTGGAGGTGGGAACCCCAAACCTTGAAGTGGGGACAGCTGGAGGTTCTAGCCTGAGATGCCCTCAAGCAGTCCCTTCCCACCCCAGGAGTCTAACTCTCCTGCCCCACAGGAGGGAGTGCTGATGGGCAGCAGCCCCCCCCCCACCTGGTCCAGAAGCCTTTGCCTAGTAGACAGCTTACCTGTCCAGGGCCACCCATGGCCCATCCAGGGTTAGCAGGGACCCCTGGAGCACTGGGCAGTGAGCTGGTCACTGCCAGCCTGGGGTCCCTGCTCCCAAGGGAGAGGCTCCAAGGCCAAGCAGACACCCCCCGGCCAAGGCAGCGTCCACCTCCGCAAAGCCATCCCACAGGCTGCACACAGCTGAGCTGGCCACCTCCCAGCCCTGCCTCCATCCCCAGATCCAGCCAGGCTGTGACTGACATCAGGCTCTGTGCTCACCAAACCCTGGGTCCTTGGGCACTGTCATCTGTGTTTTACTTACCCACTCACCCCTCTCCATTCCCATTTCTCTGGGCCTCCTGGGTGGTACAACCCTCTCAGCTCCTCCTCCAAGCTGGCTACCAGGATGCTGGGTCCAGCCCCTTCCAGGCTCTCCCATGCTCCCAGAACGGCCCCTGCCGGTGTCCCTGCGCTCCATCTCCCCGCACCTGACCTTGGCCCGAAGGTATCAAGCCCAGCTTTTTGCAGCATCTCAAATGCTATTCCTACCCTATACGATCTTAGTCCTCCTTCAAGTGCCACCTCTGTCCCCACCCCATTCCCACCAATGAGAAGCCCTCCTTGAGTGACCCATACTTCCTGTCCATTTCAGAGGGGGACACCAAGGCCTAGAGCAGGAAAGGGACATCAGAAGGCCTGGCTGGGTGCTGCCCAAGCTCGGCAGAGTTCTGAGTGGAAGAGGAGACTGGGCTGCCACCCACCTGGCCCATGCCAGCTCATGCCTCCTCTGAGCGCTTGGGGAGTGAAGCCCTGGGGTGTGGGGCACTTACAAGTCAGCCTTGACGAAGCCTTTCCCTTCAGTGTCAAACACCTTGAAGGCATGGAGAATGGTTTCCTCGGGGTCGGTGCCTACAAGCAGCACACAGAGCAAGGAGATGGCAAGTAAAGAGGCCCCTCAGAGACAGGTGCCATGGCCTCTGACTCCACTCACAGTCAGGCCCAACCCTACTTGAAACAAGAGCAGGGAGGTTACAGAGAAACACACAAGGAGCTGCCCATGTGGACTCATGAACAACCTGCGCAACTATACATAGACAACCTATTTGCTCCTGACAATAGTTCCTATTTTATAGATGAAGAAACTGAAGCTCAGAGAGGTTACCATATTTGCCTTTCTAAGTTTCCAAAGCTGATGTGGCTGCAGTATCAGTGAGCCTGGGAGCAGCAACTCTGGGCCTCACTCATTGCCCACACTGTGCACAGAGACTGTAAGTGAAAGAAAAAGAGCTCTGTGCTCGGGGGCTGAGGCTGAAGCTAGCACAGGGCATTGAAGGGGTCTGAAAGATTGTCCCACTCAGAAGTGGCAGTGGGTAGTAGGCTGGGTGGCAGTGTGGCCAGCCCGGGGCTGGTTATTACTTTCACAGCTTTGGGGAAAGATGCATCTGAATAAATGATTCTGAATCGCACCATGGGCTTGAATACCTTGTGGCCACATTGTTCTGATAGTGAAACTGAGGCCCACAGTGAGGAAGAGGCTCACCCAACGCCTCCTGGGCTGTGTGAATGACAAGTGACCTGACGACTCTCACCTGGACCTCTTTCCCTGGTCAGAGCTCACCTCGGGCCCAGGAGATCTCCTTTATCTCTGACACAGGGACAGAGGTGGGGCCTGCTGGGTGATGCTCCCCAGCTGGATTTTGACAGTGGATCAAAATCAGGGGGTGGGGCTACAAACAGCCTCAGGGCTCTGCCAGGCTCCAGGCCTGCCCCTTTGACCCAAGGGAGACCCGGAGCACCCTGGAGAGCAGACATGATGCCGGGAAGTAGAAGCTCATCCCGAACAGGGCAGGCAGTGAGTGTCTAAGTCACTCAGTCTCTGAGACTGGCCAGGTAGGACAGAGCGCGGCCTGTGCTGGCCATGCTGGCCCTGGAGCTACTGGAGGGTGGAGATGGGGCTTTCTCTACAAGGACAGCGGGGGGCCCGCATGCCCAGCCCAGAGGCTGAGCCCAGGGCCGGGCTAGGGCAGGGCTGGAGGCTGGAGAGGGTGGAGTGGAGAGAGGACCATGATGAGGGCTACTATGTCTCCGCTCTGAGGCCGCAGACTCCCAGACTTCAGCAATCAGCTGAAAACTCCCAGCGTCTTTGAAGAGGCCTCACAGCAGGGGCCGGTCTGTGATGGGCACCTGCAGCCCAGGGTGACTGGCCCCGCTGGGGGCCCCTCACTGCACAGGCTGCTCCCTGCATGGGGGCTGGGAGGACCGAGCATGCGGTCCCCAGAGAGGGCCTCGGCTCCAGGCCTGTGGACCTCATAAAACAGGCTGCAGAGTGGCTGCCTCCCGTCACTGAGGATCTCATGACAAAGCCTCCTCATCTCAATTAGAGGGATGAGGCTGCTGGCCTGTCACGTAGGCTGGGCCACATTCACGTGATAGGCACGGGTCCCTGCAGAAATGAGAAAAAGCTGTACCCCTGCGGCCCCCACCAGGCCCTAGCTCCCCGCTGCAGCTCAGCCACAGGCAGGTGCACAAGCCTCACCCAGTCTGCCAATAGGATGCAGCCATCGAGAGCTAGAAGAGCTCTCCCCTCCTCCAGAACAACCAGAACCCTGGTGCTCACACCTCAGCTCTTCAGGATCAAGTTGCTGTCTCTTAGCACCCTGCCTCCCTGGCTCTAAAATGGGATCAGTAGCTAGGCATGGGGTGGCACACACCTGTAATCTCAGCTCTTTGAGAGGCTGAGGCAGGGCCATCCCAAGTACAAGCCCAGCCTGGGCAGCTTAGTGAGACTCTGTCTCAAAATTTAAAATGAAAAAAGGACTGGGGATATAACTCTGTGCAAACGCCCTAGGTTCAATCTCCAGTACTGGAAAAAAAAAAATAGTGGAGGGCAGACTCCTGCTCTGTTCAAAGCTGCTGGCTGGAGCCACCCATGTCTCCCAGGCAATGCTTGCCCTGGCCTAGGGCCCTGGGCTTGAGTTCTTCCGGGAGATGGACACAGGCATGGAAACAATCCCTAGCAGCTGCCCTGGGCCCCCTGGGACTCCTGGGTCAGCTGTGCAGTCCCAAGTTCAAAGCCTGCCCCAGAGAGACTACCCAGCCTCCCAACCCCAGCAACCTTGCCTCTGACCCCCAGGCTGATCGTGGGCCTCCTTCCAGCTCTGGGATCTGCCAGGGCCTTGGGTGAGGAGGCTGCAGTACACTCCAGCAGGTCATGAGCCAGGAGAGAACCGATTTTCTCTGGTATTAATAGGACTCACCCCCATAGTGGGCTGATTGATGACCCCCTGAAAGACTTCCACCAGAACCTTACTTGGGACCAGGGACATTTCAGATGCAAATTAAAGATGTTGAGATGACAAGATCATTCTGGAATCTCTAGATGGGCCCTTAAATCCAGGGACAAGTGTCCTTATCAGAGGAAGGCAGAGACCTGGGATTAGACAGCGGATGGGGGTTGCCTTATGACCCTGAGGGACATGGGAACCCAATGGCCACCCGAGGCTGGGAGACAAAGAGCAGATTCTCCCCTGGGGCCTCAGAGAGCCTGGCCCAGCCAGATTTCAGACTTCTAGATGCCAGATCTGTGAGAATACAGAATACAGTTCTGGTGTTTGGTATCACCAAGTTTGTGGTCATTTGTCAGAGCAGCCTCAGGTAAAATTCCCACTTTGCAGACTAAAAATGGAGGTGCAGAGAGCAGACAAGATCACCCTGGGGGGTCTGTGGGAGGCCAGGTCTTGGCCCCAGACCTGACTTAGACAGGCAGACCAAAGGGGGACATCAGATGACAGCAGGTGACAAGAGGGTGCAGCTTTCACCACCTGCCTCACAAGCACAAAGTCCCGAGTTCGATCCCCAGTACCAAAACGACAACAACAACAAACCCTAGGGTGCAGCTTTGGGGCCACCACAGCCCAGATGGGCTTTTCCTTCCAGCCACAGAATTCTTGAGCTCTGAGGATGTCATTACAGGGTCCCTGCAAGGGCCAGCAAAGAAAGGGGACAGAGAAGAGGCCCTAATGCTGTGTTGGGAGATGGCAGCAGTTAGAGCCTGGGTCCAGGCAGCCACTTCTTTGCTGGGCCCTGCGGCAGGTGTCGCAACTTCTCTGAGCCTCCTCTGACTCTATTCCTGAAAAGCAGCTCCCTGATACTTTCTTGGGGGCTGTGGTGACTGTGACACACGACGAGGTGAGTCACCTGTCCAGGGCTGGAGTTGTCACCTTCGCTTTTAAAAGCCCTTCCCCCACAACACCCTTCTACCTCTCCCTCATTGGCAAGGGCACTGAAGCACAGCAGAGAGAGCCAGAGGGAGGGGAGGCAGGGGCATTGTCCTTGGTTTGGACGAAGGACTCAACAGAGGTTGGAGACTGAGTCAGGACCCGGGATGCTGTGTGCACTCGGAGGCTGGCATCTGGGGCCACGCCTTGTTCCTGCCTGTGTCTATGTACAAGTGTCAGGGCTGGCAGGGGACATGTCTACACCCAGCCATAGTGCATCCAAGGGTCCTGGAGCTTCACTCACCCTTGAGCTTCTCCCCAAACATGGTCAGGAAGACAGTGAAGTTGATGGGCCCGGGAGCCTCCTTCACCATGGCCTCCAGCTCCTCATTCTTGACATTGATGCGGCCTGGGGAGGACAGCAAGTGGGGTGGGGCCCAGGAACATGAAGGGTGCTGAGGGGCCCTGCAAGAGGCAGCTGAGTCTCCCAGCACTACTGTCCCACCTGCCCTTCGAAGTCCTGAAGCCTTGTCCCCTGCTGGGGGACCCTCAGCCTTAAGTCTGCAAGGGATTGTCCTCAATCTCAACCCAGCCACCACTTGGCCTCAGCCCCCTTGGAGAGGAGACCAATTGGGTCCTTAGCTCCCCTTTGCAGGTGGGGAAACTGAAGCCCAAACAAACTGAGGTGGGAGTACACAGGTGCCCAGGGTTCATGCATCCCTGGAGGTGAGGACTCTGGATTCCTCAGGGTCCCAGTGGGCATTCTGATCCCTGGGGGCTGAGGGCCCAGCCAGAGATGAGCCGGTTATGCCCCTTCTCCCACCCAACCCAACTGGTGCCTCAAGGGCCCTCCCCGACAGCTGACCCCTCTTGACCCTCAGGCCCTTCCCCAGGCTGTCGCTGCCCCTGCAGTGTCCTCACTTTCCATGTCTTGCTCTCACACCTGGGACCCTTCCCCACCTTCCAGGCGACCCCCTCCTCTGCCTCCCTCAGTCCATGACACCCCCCTGTGCCCGACTCTTGCCTGGAGGCCTGGGCTCTGTCCCTCCCCACCCTCAAGCTTCCCCAGCTGCGGGGCCACTCACTCACCCAGTGCAGCAAAGGTGTCTCTCAGGTCCTCCTTGTCGATGAAGCCATCCCGGTTCTGGTCCATGATGGTAAAAGCCTGGCAGAAACACTGGTGCTGAGTGGCCGATTAGCCTATCCAGCCCAGCTGCCCTGGCATCGCCCCCTGTGGGAGCTGCCCCAAGGACATCAGTGCAGGCCCCCAGCCCCGCAGCTTAGTGGGCACAGTGGGCTGCTGGCAGCCTTCATTTATAGAGCAAAAAACTGAGGCTCAGAAAGAGAAAGGCATTGGCCAAGGTCACCCAGAAGGCACAGACTCGGGAGCAGAGAGGAAGAGACTGCCCGCAGGCGGAAGGCTCGGAGGCAATGCCACGGTCGGCCGAGAGATGACTCCATGCCCAGCTCCCTTCTCCATGTCCCTTCCTTCCTTCAATCCTCCCACAGCCCTGGGGACGGTGACTGACCAACCTCCTTAAACTCCTGGATCTGCGACTGATCGAACATGGAGAAGACATTGGAGCTGGCTCCACCTTCCACTCTCTTCCGGGCTCTCCGGGGTGCCTACGAGGGACCAGGGAGGCCTTTTGTAGTGGGACAGAGGGGACACTTGTTCTGTCCTCAGTGCCTGCCTGAGTCTCCTTGTCCCCTTCCCTACCTCCTCCACTGTAGCTGTGGTTTTGCCTTGTCCAGCTGCAAAAGCTTCCTGAGTGTTCTCAGGATCATGTCTGATGTCTGTCCAGCAACATTTGTCCATTGCTGCATTCCCAGACCTTCTTTTGCCTTCTGCCTGGGCCTCTTCTCACCCTAACCCGCTTTGAGCTGCCTTCCCTCCGGGATCTATTCCTGCACCCCATGCCCAGAAAGCCTTCCCAGCCTTCCATCTGGAAAAATTCTGGGCACATCGGCTCCCCTGCTGGGTCTGAGAAGCCTTTCCTGCCCCCCCCCCAGACCATTCATTCTGTTCTGGGACTGTCACCTGCCACAGCACAAGCCATACTGTTCAGCCATTTCTCTCCCAATCTGTCTCCCCGACTAAGTGGAGACCCCAGCGGCAAGGCCCATTGTGTACCATCTCTGGCCAAGAGCAGGCATCAGGCCATTTTAGGGAACAGCTGCCCAGACTCAGGGGTCACCTACAGGGCAGGTAGAGCGGCTGCCCCCTGCACGGAGCCCTCCCCGTGTCTGGCTGGGCCCCTGCCACCTTTTCAGGATGGCATGGGGCCCGAGGGCTGCCACTAGACACTCTGAAAACTCTAAGTCTCCAGGACTCCCTGAAGAGCCTCTCCCTCAGTAGCCATCATTGCAGGCCCTAGTCCTGGGGGATCCCCGAATGGGCCTTGATTGGGGAAGAAAGCTACCTAGGTGTCGCCAAGAGAGAAGGGAAGGCACAGCTCCCACCACCAGCTCAGCCAGCGACACCTCTGCCAAGGCCTTGTCTGGACCTCCATCCAGAGCTCTCCCTGCTCCCCGCCCCTCACCCCAGCGCCTGTGTGGTCTCCCCTACCCCCCACCCCGCCCTCACCCCAACTTCCCTCCAGCTCCTGGGCCCTCCTTGAAGCAGCAGCACCCGGCTGACTTATAATTAGCTTTTACTGGGTGCTTTGTCTCCGCTAATCCTTTGAAAGGGGGCTGGCAGGGTGGCTGGGACGTTAGGGTGCTGTAAAACCTCTGTAATATTTATAAATCCCTTCAGACAGCATAAAGAAAAGAACTTCCCTGCAGAGCTCAGCTCACATAATTACATATACATTTCCCTCTGATTAATAAAAAATGATCACTTCCGTCTGGGGGATATTCTGCCTTTTCTTGCTCAGATCTGGCTTCAGCCTTGACTCCCCCACTTCTACCCCACCCCAGCCTTTCATATCCGCCTCCCTCAGCACAGGCCGCCCTACTGTGGTCCAGAGCTCTTCAAGGGACGAGGGGATCCTCTGGCTGGCTGTTCAAGGGGGCTGTGAGGCCTGAATGGGCCCCTGAAAAATAAGATCCCCTGAAAAGAGAATCCCAAGCAAGATGGGGGCCACAAAGACCTGAGTTCTAATGCCGGCTTTGCTGCTCTGTGATGTTAAGAAACGCACTTCCTTCTCTGAGCCTCAGTTTCCCATTGATAAAACCAAGAGAATACCTGCCTCAAAGCATCAGGACATTTACTGAATACCTGTGCCCTGTGCCTGGATCCTGGGACTCAGAGCTGAATCAAGACCTGCCCTTGTCCCCAAAGACACAGTCCAGCTGGGGACAGGGCACTGATAGAGAATGACAGAGGAGGTACAGGTGCTGAGTCTGAGTTCAGGCCAAGAGTGACTCATGGGAGCAGGGAGTGAGACGTAAGTATCAAAGAACAGTGAGATTGAGAGCGTGCAGGGAACAGGGAGAGTGGTAGGTGAGCCCCACGGGGCACAAGGGGCAGAGGCCGGTGAGCACACTGTCTAGAATATTGACCTCAGACTCCAAACCATGTCCACCCTGAAGCCCCCAAGCATGGCTCACCCATCTGCCTCCATCCTGCTGATCCTCGTTTCCCCCCACTTTGACCTCGGCAGCCCCCACTGAGTCCAGGAAAGCAGAGACCCCCAAGTACAACCTACATGGATGAGCTGGCCACCCACCAAGATCAAATGAAGTCAAGGTCAAGGTGAGTTCAGGCGTGAGATGAAAATTAGAATCTCACATAAAGCCGAGGTCACAGGACGAGATCAGGGTAAGGAATGAGCTCTAGATTGAGACAGACCGGGAAGGTGACTCTACAGACTGGAGGGAGGGGTCTGCAGCCCCAAAGCTGTGGGGCTAAGCTCCCCAGGGACCACAGAGGTTCAGGAAGGGTGGCCCCAGCCTACCATGCTCTGGAGTGCTTCCTGGAGCCGCAGCAGGGCTGTGTCCACTGGAGGGTGGTTCCTTAAATAGTGCTCCTCCAGGGTCTGCTGGCGCTGCTCCAGGTCCAGATAACAGTTTGGAAGGCGACCCAGGCTATGGTGGGCACCTCCCTGCCAGGCATCTCCTCAGAGCCCCTGGGAATGGGTAGGATTGTGGGATCCTTGGGCCAAAACCATTGATCTAGAGACTGCCTAAGCCCAGAGGATCTCCGTGAGCGTTAGGCCAACTGTTTTCTCTCCAGCCAGGGGACCAAGGCTCAGGAAGGGCCTGAGGCCAAGGACCCACAATAAAGTCAAGACCTAAACCAGCTGGGAAGACTTGGCCTTGTGCCGCGGAGAGCAGGGCCACTCATGCCAGCTGGGCACACACAGAGGCCGAAACTGCCTGACCCCTTGAGCTGTGTGGGTTCTGAGTGGGTCATCAACCTCTAGGAGTCCCAGTCCTTATGTGGGATGAGAGGGAAGGCGTGACACCCACTCAGTCTACCTGTGGAGATGGTTTCTGCCCCAGTCTGGCTTCAACCGATATGGCTACAGTTGTGCCTCGGTGTCTGTGGAGAACAGGCTGCAGAAGGGAACCCTGGGACACCCAGATTTAAGGGTGCTCAGGTGCTTATATAAACGATGTAGTGCTTGCATAGAACCTAAGCACCTGTCATACATTCTAAGTCATCTGGCTGACCTCTGATGCCCGATACCATGGAAATGCTGCTTAAATAGCTGCTGGACTGTATTACATAGGGAATAACAAAAAGAAATCTGTTCTTGTTCAGCACAGATGTGATCATTTTTCCCAATACTTCCCATCCACTGCTGGTTTACTCCTTGGGCATGGAACCCATGGACGCAGAGAGCCATCAGGAGTGCCCTGTGATCAGCAGGGTCCCTGTTACCCATCCCTCCCCAGGGGACCCTTCAGGGCTTAAAAATGCTCAAGGTGTTGAGAGTAAAGAAACAAGAAAAATTAGAGAGAATTGAAAACTTGATCTCAGTGTGCCCCACACCTCCCACAACCCATCCCGACATGTGCCAGGCAGAGATCCCACCTCCTCCTAGCAAGCTCCTCCAGGTCCAGGGCAGCCCTACCGGCTCCAGCGTGGCCTCCAGGCTGCCTCTGTCCATCTGGGCATGTTGGCTGCTGCGTGGGAACAGCACATCTGATCGGCTGCCAGGGACGGCAGGCCTGGGCTCAAGCCTTGAGCCACAGGTCCCCTGGAACTGGAGAGATTAACTGTCCCCGGAGGTGGCCTCAGGCCTCCAGGCCTCCAGGCCTGGGTACGGCTGATCCCCTCCTTTGGGGAGAGGGCATGTAACATGAGTTGAAAAAGGGCCAGTCTGTGTTCTGAAACAGGTCTCCTCCCATTCAGCCTTTCCAGGTGAGGAAACAAAGGCACATCGAGGTTAACTCACTCCCCCAAGGCTGGTAAGAGTTGATATCAGGATGAGAAGCCTTCTTTCTAGTGGTTCCATTAGGAAGTTTCCAGAGGATTCTGCTTGACATCTCTCCGAGGCATCTGACTGTAGATGACCCTGACTAGCCCCTCTGGCATCTCTGAGCACCTGGGACAAAGCCATCCAGGCTCTGACAGGATTTGTCCTGACCCACTCCTCCCCTGGCATTCCACCCAGGGGGACCAACCACATGCTTTACAGGTGTCAGCGGGCGGGGATGAAGGTGCATCTGGCTCGGGGGACAGGAGCCCTAGATTGCAGGCCCAGACAGCCTCAGCCTCCGCCTCCTGCAGCAGATGGGCTGGGAGACCATGGCAGGTTTCTACCCCTGCAGGGGGACAGGTGGCCACTGTCTGTACCAGCTGTGGGGTGCAGTCTTTCCTTGCCTGGTTCCTGAACCTGGCCCTGCAGCCTCCTAGCTCTGGTTCACTGGTGGGAAGACGATGCCATGTGGGTCTCTAACTCCTGTTCCCGGTGGCCTCTGGCGGCTTTCTGCTGGCCCGAGGACTCTGCATATCAGACCTAAACTCTTTCCTCCAGAGATCTGACCCAGGGCCTCAGGGTGGCTCCGGAAAGCCCAGGACAGTCCCGAGCAAGCAGAGGGCCTCAGCCAGGCTGGCAAGGCCCAGCACCATTGAGAGTCACAGTGAGACAGGGAGGAATCACAACAGGGTTTGTAAGAAAGAACTAGTCAACTCGAATGGTCACATGTTCATTTACTATCTTCCATGGCCCTGCACTGGGTGTCCAGAGGACTAAGAATTAATGCTTGAGAATCCTGGGTTTGGGACATTTCAGTAACCTACGCAAACAATGTACGCTGGGCTTGTTCATTCCTTAACTGTTTATTAGGCTCTTACTAAGTACAGGGCACTGGAGACGGCAGTGAATTACACAGATATCTGTGAGGGGACTGGGAGAGAGACTGCCACTGCCTTTCAGAGGGGACACTGTGGGCTGGCATCCAGCAGACTGGGCTAGAAGAACACCTTGTCTTTGTTCTGTATACTTCACTTCAGAGAGCCCACAAATCCCAACAGGTGTGAAGTCACACAGCACAAGGGGCCAGGCACACAATCTGTATTTTGATTTTGGGTCACTCAGGGCCCACTGGGCAGCTGGATCCCTTCCGAGTCACTGAGCCCACAGCTATTTTTACAACAGGGCACCATGGCCACAGGCCCTTTGAACAGGATGCCTCTCATGTGTTTCTGTGGTGTGGTGGGTTCTCAGCCC